TCTCTCCGTCTTCTCTCTCCCGTGTCTCTCTCTCTCCGTCTCTCTCTCCCCGTCTCTCTCCTCTCTCCGTCTCTCTCTCTCTCCGTCTCTCTCTCTCTTCGTTCTCTGCTCTCTTCTTTTCGTCTCCTTCTCGTCTCGCTCTCTCTCTCTCTCCGTCTCTCTTCTCTCCGTCCTATCTCTCTGCTCTCCGTCTCTTCTCTCTCTCCGTCTCTCTCTCTCTCTCCGTCTCTCTCTCTCCCCGTCTCTAATCTCTCTCCGGTCTCTCTCTCTCCGTCTCATCTCTCCTCTCTCACGCGTCCCTCTCTCTCCTCGTCTCTCTCTCTCTCTCCGTCTCTCTCTCTCTCCGTCTCTCTTCTCCTCTCCGTCTCTCCTCTCTCCGTCCTCTTCTCTCCGTCTCTCTCTCTCTCCGTGCTCTCTCTTCCTCCGTCTTCTCTCTCTATCGTCTCTCTCTCTCTCAAAGTCCTCTCTTCTCCGTCTCTCTCTCCTCCGTCTCTCTCTTCTCTCCGTCTCTTTCTCTCTCTTCCGTCTCTCTCTCATCTCCGTCCTCTCTCTCCTCCGTCCTCTCTCTCTCCGTCCTCTCTCTCTCTCCGTCTACTCTCTTCCGTCCTCTCTCTCTCCCGTCTCTCTCTCCTCCGTCCTCTCTCTCTCTGCCGTCTCTCTCTCTCTCCGTCTCTGCTCTCTCTCCGTCTCTCTCTCTCCCGTCCTCTTCCTCTCCTCTCCGTCCCTCTCTCTCATCCGTCTCCTCTCTCTCCGTCTCTCTCTCTCTCCGTCTCTCTCTCTCTCTCTCACCGTCTCTCTCTTCTCTCGTCCTCTCTCTCTCTCTCCGTTCTCTCTCTCTCACGTCTCTCTCTCTCTCCGTCTCTCTTCTCTCCGTGCTCTCTCTCTCTCCTCTCTGCTCCTCTCCGTCTCTCTCTCCTTCCACCGTCTCTCTCTCTCCTCCGGTCTCTCTCTCTCTCTCTCGGTCTCTCTTCTCTCTCCGTCTCTCTCCTCTCTCCGTCTCTTCATCTCTCTCCGTCTCTCTCTCTCCTCCGTCTCTCTTCTCTCCGTCTCTCTCTCTCTCCGTCCTCTCTCTCTCTCCGTCTCCTCTCTTCTCTCTCCGTCTCTCTCTCTCCGTTCTCTCTCTGCTCCGTCTCTCTCTCTCCGTCTCTCTCTTCTCCGTCTCCTCCTCTCCGTCTTCTCTCTCTCGTCTCTCTCTCTCTCCGTCTCTCTCTCTCTCCGTCCTCTCTCTCTCCGCTCTCTCTCTCTACTTCCGTCTCTCTCTCTCTCTCCGTCTCTCTTCTCATCTCTCCGCTCTCTCTCTCTCTTTCACCGTCTCTCTCTCTCCGTCTCTCTCTCTCTCTCCGTCTCTCTCTCTCTCTCCGTCTCTCTCTCTCTCCGTCTCTCTCTCTCTCTCCGTCTTCTCTCTCCGTCTCTCTCTCTCTCCGTTCTCTCTCTCTCTCGTCTCTCTCCTCTCCGTCTCTGCTCTGCTCTCCGTCTCTCTCTCTCTCTCCAGCGTCTCTCTCTCTCCGTCTCTTCTCTCTCTCCACGTCTCTCCTCTCTCCGTCTCTCTCTCCCTCTCTCTCTTATCCCTCTCTCTCTCTCTCCCTGCTCTCTCTCTCTCTCCGGTCTCTCTCTCTCTCCATCTCTCTTCTCTCCGTCTCTCTCTCTCCGCCCTCTCCATCTTCTCCGTCTCTCTCTCTCTCTCCGTCTCTCTCTCTCTCTGTCTCGTCTCTCTCTCTCTCTCCGTCTCTCTCTCTCTCTCCGTCTCCTCTCTCTCTCCGTCTTCTTCCGTCTCCGTCTCTCTCTCTCTCGCGTCTCTCTCTCTCTCCGTCTCTCTCCTCTCTCCGTCTCTCTTTCTCTCCGTCTCTCTCTCTCTCCCGCTCTTCTCTCTCCGTCTTCTCTCTCTCTCCGTCTCTCTCTCTCTCGTCTCTCTCTCTCTCCCGTCGTCTCTCTCTCTCACGTCTCTCTCTCTCTCTCTCCGTCCTCTCTCTCTCCTCTCTCTCTCTCTCTCCGTCTCCTCTCTCTCTGCCGTCTCTCTCTCTCTCCGTCTTCTCCTCTCTCCCGTCTCTCTCTTCTCTTCGCGTCTCTCTCTCTTCCGTCTCTCTCTTCTCCGTCTCTCTCTCCGCCTCTCTCTCTCTCCGTCTCTCTCTCTCGCTCTCATCCTCTCCTCTCTCTTCTCCGTCTCTCTCTCTCCTCCGTCTCTCCTCTCTCGCGTCTCTCTCTCTCTCTCCGTCTCTCTCTCTCTCTCTCGTCTTCTCCATCTCTCCGTCTCCTCTCTCTGCCGGTCTCCTCTCTCCTCTCCGTCTCTTCTCTCTCTCTCCTCCGTCTTCTCTCTCCTCCGTCTCTCTCTCCTCCGTGCTCTCTCTCCGCTCGTCTCTCTCTCTCCTCCTCCGTCTCTCTCTCTCTCCGTCTTCTCTCTCCTTCTCTCTCTCTTCCGTCTCTCTCCTCTCCGTCTCTCTCTCTCTCCGTCTCTCTCTCTCTACTGTCATCGTCTCTCTTCTCTCGTCTCTCTCTCCTCATCCGTCCCTCTCTCTCTCTCCATCTCTACAATCTCGTCTTCCTCCCGTCTGCTCTCTGCTCTCCGTCTCTCTCTCTCTCCGTCTGCTCTCTCTCTCCGTCTCTCGTCTCACCGTCTCTCCGTCTCTCTCCTCTCGTCTCTCCGTCTCTCTCTCTCTCTCCGTCTCTCTCTCTCTCTTCCGTCTCTCTCTCTCTCTCCGTTATCTCTCTCTCTCCGCTCTCTCTCTCCTCTCCGTCTCTCTCTCTGCTCTCCGTCTCTCTCTCTCCTCTCCGTCTCTCTCTCTCTCTCACGTCTCTCTCTCTCTCCGTCTCTCCTCTCTCGTCTCCGTCTCTCTCTCCTCTCCTCCGTTCCTCTCTTCTCTCTCTCCGTTCTCTCCTCCGTCTCTCCCTCCGTCTCTCTCTTCCGTCTCTCTCCCTCCGTCTCTCTTCTCTCTCTCGCGTCTCTTTCTCTCTCCTCCGTCCTCTCTCTCTCTCCCTCGTCTCTCTCTCTTCTCTCCGTCTCCTCTCTCTCTCTCTCTCTCCGTCTCTCTCTCTCTCTCTCGACGTCTCTCTGCCTCTCTCTTCCGTCTCTCTCTCCTCTCTCTCTCGTCTCTCCTCCCTATCTCCGTCTCTCTCTCTCTCTCTCTCTCTCTCTCCGTCTTCTTCTTTCTTCGCTGAGGTTACCCTGAAATCTTACCCCAATATTTGAAAGCGAACGTATCCTATTTCAGCATCCCTAAAATGACTTCTCCAGTTGAATCGGTCACCACCTAACAAGAAACTTTGAGGTCGTTAGCCGAATTTCTTAACTGTGCTCCGTGATGACGCTGAAATTAAGCACTTCGAGATCTCGCGGGTTCATGGTCGGGTTGCCGTTTGGAAACCCCAAGATCTACAGTTGCCGTGCATCCGGCCAAAGAGATAAAAGGCAATGACTGACAATGACTGACTAAATTAAAAAAGGATAACTCCATTATTCCATGCGCTCAATGGCAGAAAAGGGGGCTTAAAGACGCGTAGTAGAGGCTCAACAATTTATTTTAACTTAAGATTAAATTGGAACTTGGGTAACAGTTCGAGTTCCTTGGCATAGTGAATAGGATTGCCCTTTAGGTTGTCACTTGGAGAACCCCTTTTCAACTCAATCATATATTATTTTCTTTTCAGCTAGTCTTTATTCTTTTATTTCAAAGATCGCATGTTTGTGTTGCCAAAGGAGTAAATTCACTTTTGGAATTTTTTTAGCGAGGACTTCCTTACAAGTAGAATCCCATAACCTGTTTTCTTCTTTTCTTCCGTCGTTCTCCCCGTCGCTGGGCCGACATAAGTCCTGGTGGCGTAGCCAAAGATCCTGGGCCCTGTAGCGTTTCCCGACAGATGTCGACGGAACCTACTTGCGACACGCCACTTTATCTCCAATAAGAAACTCCTTAGCTATGTTTTACGTGAAATTTTGGCCACTGTTTCATATTAATGTTTAGACAAATGCGTGCATGCCATGTACAATTTTGGATTAAATCTCATGTTAGGCTTCAAATAATGTCTGAACAACTTGATCGTGAGTGACTTACACATATCGTCAAGTTTTGACACGGTTTGTCCTGAAGTGCTATAGAAGTACGACGCGTTCATGAGCTACGCTTGTCTCAAATCACGTGGATGACTTCCGTGATAAATTTTGCCATCACGGATAAATTGTTTTTGTCGATAATTGCTTGCAGAGTCAGCAACTTCTGCTCATGAGAACCGCAAAGATGTTAAAATATCTGCTTCAGATTGCCGTAGGTGAATCTGATGTATTTTCTGCTGATTCGAAAAACATTCTCATGTTCTTTACCTGCCGAAAGCTGATTGCTAATGTCTCTCCCGTCATTTTCTCCCTGTGGTGTGATTCATAGAACAGAAAACTTGGGGTGGTGAACACCGCTGAGACAACTGTCGTCACTGAAGTGTCTCCAACTCAGCGATCATCAAGCATCCTTAATTATCGGAAATAAAAGCCGGACGATATTCCTAGAGACTTAATCAGCCTAAAATTATGGTTAGGGAGTCTTTTTTCGTGCATGTTAGTCCATAAGAACATACGAGTGTGTTTCCTACTGTCCAGCCTTGAATTTCGGACATTTTGGGCTCGAACAATTCTTTCCTAATGCCTTCAATTATCCTTTAATTTTGAAACCTTTTGCTAGCTTTAGTCTAAAACCACCAACACTACAATGTTAAAAAATCCAAAACAGCCTGTTATTTGGAAATACTGCGCTTTAAATAGCATACATTTGGCATTATATTTTACATATTATTTGGCCGTGTTTTGGCTTTCGATACTGCTAACTTAATATGGCTGCGACGCGACGCCAACATAATTTTACGAGCTTAATTTTATTTTTAGATTAATTTAATAATTTATTGTAGCTTTTTCGTCCAGTCACCTATATATTTCTTTTGCTTGAAACATAATTAGAATATATCATTAGTAGGATTGTTATAAGGAAATGGAATTTTTTATTATTCTTTTTACTTTTCAGATATAAATGTGATAAGAACGAAATACCTATCACTGTTGCTGCTGGTTCCACCACACCGCTAGTTGACAAGCCCGTTAATGACGAAGAGGCTGGAGACTACGACCCATTTGAACACAGAAAACTTCTGCATCCTACAACGTAAGTTAATATTCATTACAAAATCTTAAAATAGTGGTAGACAGTAGTGAAGATAAGGTAACATTTTTCGGAATGATAAAATATCGTCCATTTGACTCTTCCAACTTGGTTTCAAAAAAATGCATGAAGGTATTTCTCTTTTCTCATATAGAAATATTTATAGATATTTGCTTTATTGTTAGACGATGAATCGTCTTTCTTTAAGGCTCTGTGACTTTCATTTTCATTACGCATAAATTTCCCGAGAAGACAATTTAATTTGTATGGAAATATCTCGTATATTGACTGAATTGAGTTGACTGAACAAATGTTGAATTGGGTTTTCATTTTTCCACTAGTTTCGAACAAAATGTTTTGAAAGAAAATAATTCTTAATTGTAATGCTACATCACCTCATATTTTCTCGCATTATTCATAAATGTGCAATTTTCGAAACTTTAGAAAGTTCAATAAAAATTAGATCTGTGCCATTTTTTAAACGTTCTTTCTTCTGTCCGAAAAAATGAAGAAAAAATTCGGAACATTTTTGAGAATTTTTTTTTATAAATTGCATTAACATCATTCGTGAATTATGCGAAAACTATTTATTTTTTATTAAACTCTACATGACCTTTTATAAAGAGCTGACTTTTTTCGAAAACGACTTTGGCTAAGGCTAAAATCTCTTATCTTCAATTTTGTAGTTTTGAAATATGAAGTCTTTGCAATTTGCGACAATGCAGAGTGTTCGCCGAAAATGTGGCTCACTTTTGTCACTTAAAACATACAAGCATAACATTTAAAGAAAAAATTGTGCAGTTTTACAACAAAAAAGTTTGAAAAATTTAAAAACTATCAATATTTCGCGCATGACAACTACTCATATGTTCCAAAAATTGGAAACAAACTAATTTCAAGATGTCTTTAAGGAACAGATATCATGAAATGAAAAATGTTATCTTCAATATTATAGTTGTAGGAAGATGCCCAAAACAAATCGCATTTTCACAATTTTAGAAAAATCTGAAATTTCAATGAACATGAGACCTACACCATCCATTCTCTTAAGCGTCCATTAGACTACATAGGAAAAATATTAGTAAAAAAATGTAATGCCGTTTTTTGAGAAAATTTTGAAAAGGTTTTTGAAGCTTCATGTAGAGTACCCTCAAAAATCGAAATATCCAGTTGAAACTTCCAAAGCCTTGAGTTCTTTCAAATCGATCGCGGAATATCAATTTTGGGGAAAATCAGCTGGACAGTTTGGGAGCTAGCGTTGACTACACACGGACGGACAAGCAAGCCTTTTGTCGTCAATAAAGTTTTCGATATCAAAACCTCCAAAACTGATTACACCAGTGTACAAAGAAGGTTATATTAACAGGATTTATCCATTTTTACGTTACCAGGGCCCGACAATAAGAGTTATTCTGTTTCTCCATTTACTTTCTCGCTACCGCTTTCGGAGAAGGGATAACGTTATGTAATAATGCGCGCGAATTTTGCGGCAGAAAAGCTGCAAATTTTCGTCAGAAAAACTTTTTACAGGGCTCTGGTATCGAAAAAGTGTATAAATCCAGTTGCTAAATTTAGAAAACAAACACGTGGTGTAGCCAGAATCCATTCTTTTTGGGTCCTTGATACCAATAAATCATATAACGGCAAATCGTCTATCCGCCCGTGAACTACTTGTGTGAACTACGCTGGCGGCTAAACCGTATCAGATTGTATCCAAAATTGATATTCCCCTATCGACTTGGCTGATGTCCTGCTCCTTGAATTTGAAAATGATATTTTTTATTTTTGGAGTTACTTTACATAAAGTTCCTGGGACATTTTCAAACTTTACAAAAAAATGGTTCCATCGTTTTTTTATTACATTTCGTTGTGTGAAGGACATTAAGAGACTGGTGCAGGTCTTATTTTCGTTGAAAGCACAGATTTTCCGTGGTTTCTCCGATCAACATCAGGCGAATGACGGAGCTGTACCTTAACAAACGGGCCTTGTTCTATCCTCACCTCTTACACACACACACACACACACACACACACACACACACACACACTACACTACACTACACTACACTACCGCATATGTCCGTCAGGAACTGAGACACGTCAGGAACTGAGAGCTTGTTCTGGCTGGAGCCGTTCCCCGCTGGTGGGAGATACCTGGTTGGGGAAACCCCAGCTAGCTGACAGTAGGTCGGCGCCGGATCTCGCCATACAGCGGAGGAAAGAACATCGCCACCTTCCGAGCAAAACATATATTACACTTACGGGACTAATTACCCTGTTAGTTGGCGTGCCCGGAATCCCTAAACAATCAATCAATCGAAAAATTCTACGTGACATTATTAAAAAATTTATTTTTCAAAACAGATACAATTAAGGTAAAAATCTCAATACACAATATTGTATTTGTAGGAAGACGGTGAAAAAATGTTGAACTTCTGCAGTTTTCGAAAATTCAAAGATTTTAACGAAAATCAGACGTCTCCCATTTTCAAGTCTATTTCGCGCTATACGGGAAAAAGTTAAATAAAAAAATGGTATCCAATTTTGAGAAAAAGTTTCTAAAGCGTTGCACAGAGTATTGTCAAAAATTAAAATATTTCATCACAGGGTCCATGTCGATCGGGAAATTCCAGTTTTGAAGAAAATCGTCTGACTGTTCAGGCGCTCGCGTTGATCAGACAGGCGGACAGAAAGACGTTTTGCCGTCAATAGATTTTTCCGTATCAGGGGCCCACAAAACATGGATTCTGACTGCATAATGTGCTGGCGAAAGTAATATACTACATTTGGGAACAAGATCCATCCAACAGTGCAAGTTTTTTGTCGAAAATGTGCCTTTCCTTAACGATGCAAGTACATAGCATGAGAAAGTAACAACAAATACGAGTATGTGATTGACCCTGTGACGCCCGCATTTCGAACGGTGAAAGTGGAAATTTGCTTTTTGGCTCATTGCACTGTTTGTCTTCTTACTGCAGCAGATGCTTAGATCGCTTATGCTTTTCCCGTTGATCGGTCTTCCTTGAAGTGAGATCGAAATGAAATCATAAGCCGGAACACCTGCTTTTTCAAAGAACCGCACTGAAATTGCTTTCAAATGATTAATAAGAAGTGGCATTGACAGTTCGCGACCAACATCCGTTATTCCCATGCACCTTGGCTCACACACTGAAATAGAAGTCGCAATTTGAACTGTTTTTGAGATGCATTTTCTGTTACGGTCCAATTGATTCACATGTAGTCCCTTTAAGGCCGTATTGTTAGTTTATGACAAGTCAAGCAGTTTCCCGTTGTTATTTTTCTCCCTTTGTGAAACGAACTTCACAGCCTATTGCGGGGCTTTCGTACATTTGCTAGGTGCTTTCAAAAACCGAGTGTACTATGCAATACTAAGTAATACCTTGATGTTTTATATTTTTTCACACTTTCTTTCTCTCTGCAAAGCGCGAGTAGCTTCGTCTAGCTGAATGTCAACAGAAGAGTAAAGAGTACAGTTGCACACTTCCAGTAATTTTGACAGACCACATCCTCAGCTACTCCTGGCAATGTAACAAATTCTGACACATGTACTTCTTAAGAAGCTCTATCTCTGTGAACGTGGCTATTACAGCCGCATCGTCCGCGTTAAGGGCGACTTGTTTGCGGGTGCGTGGGGACATCACGTGGCCGTAGGCTTATGAGCGTAGGCGCAATGGCACTCACTTGCAGCGCTCCCGCCCATATGCATCGGCGACTGGCCTAGCATTCAAAAGCGTCACGTGAGTCATTCTGTCTGTTCCATTAGAGTACTGTTGGTTGAAATGATTTGTAGGAAGGTTTGGGGCATGGATTTTTTAGGAGACTGACGTGCCATATTGTTTTCAAATGCGTCGAGAAAAACTCCGCCTCTGAAACCTCTCTCGTTGATGTTTTTGCCATTGCGTCCCGTGATACCTAGAAGTTGGTAAATTCTACTGTGATTAGCTCGAAGTCGAGCTGCTGCTTATTTCGAAGTAAATTTTCTGAAACAAATGCATTATTAATTTATTTCTCGTCAAAAACAATAATGCCTGTAAATGACGTTTGTGGACGATGCGCAGCTTTTCTTGAACTTCAGAATGCCTTACCCATTCTCTCATCCTCTCTCATCCCATTTATAGTTGAATTATGAATAAAAGTACCAACAAGGGTGTTAGACAATATTTGAAAACTAGAAATTTTAGCCTCCGTGTAATGGAAGACCATACAACCGAAAAAGGAATTATAGATTTGATTCCATATGGTAGTTGATAAAATAACAGCTCTCCCCGAACCTACTCCTCCCGCAAAAGAGTTCAGTAAATTTAATGTCATCTGGCAATGTGTTGTGAAATAAGGTGCATGTGTTATTACGTGAATTTCTTGCAGTGAGCTGTTTAATAAAGACACCTTATGATTTCCTACAACTAGATGTATACAGTGTAAATGTATTCAATAAAAATATGATCCCTCCCTTAAGTACGCCGATTTTGTCAAAAAACACTGATTCATAAATAAATGTAAAAAAATGACTGATTTAGAAAGACTTCTGAATGCCTAGCACAATGAAATTCATTTTCTGTTCAATATATTTAAATGAACGTTACGTTTGAGGTTTGATTGAATGGAGAGACTGGAAAATATTATTACATTATTGTCAGTCAATTGCACTTGATTCATTTTTAATTAAGTACACAATTGTTTATTTGAAATGGAATATTGCATTAACACAATTTTATTTTGTTTACTACTCCAAGCTAAATGTTCCAATATTTCTAGGCCTTGTAGAAGGATCGAAAATAACTTTTTACTAATGAAAATATCGTTCGTGGACTGCAATAGTGGTACAACTCAAAAATATGGTGTTGAGATAAATGAGTTTGACATTTTCACCTTGTATTGAAATGCATCATTCTTGCGTTCACACTTCTGCCATTTGTTTGTGTACTGCTAGATATGTTGTCGCTGCTGGAAGGTAGAGTGATCTCCAATTCTGGAGAGTGCATTATCTCAAAATTCGTATGTTGAGTTGTGTCACTTTTGTAGCCCACGAGCCATCTGGTGGGAAATTTCATAAGTCCCATATATTTTCCCCTGATTGTTACGCAACGCCCTAAGTACCAGTGTTCGCCAATACACAATGTCAAAATAGGAAATAGTCCTGAATTACGGTACTTATTGGAATGGTAATGATGCTATCTAGTTCCTGAAAAACTGGAAAAAAAATCATCAGTTTTAAGGTTTTTAAAAATAAAGCAGTGGAATATTTAGTGTTGGATGTTATTGGCTTTCAAATGAAACATGTAATTCAAAACATTCATTTTTTAAAAATTATTTGTCAGATTATTTTAATAATCTAGTATATTATTTCATTACACGTGCCAATAATATGTCGTGTTTTTTAATAAGGGCAATCGGTGATGTAAGTATTAACACTGCATAAGTGATCTCCCTTTCATAGAAAGATGATATTGAATTGAAATAGAAAAAAATTATAACTAACCACATTTTTGTTTTGTTTTCTACTTTTTAGGGATCTTGATACGTTGATACACTTGCTGAAAGGAAGTCTAGGAAGCGGAATTCTTGCTATGCCATTGGCATTCCTAAATTCAGGATTGCTGTTTGGTGTAATTTCAACATTTATTATCGGTTTTATATGCACGTACTGCGTGCACATTCTGGTAAGTACTATTTATATATGTTAAATGCTTTTTCTGCTCTTCAGTATAACTTATGTGATTAAATCACAAGCATGGCACACTGTTGTATCATTATCATCGACAACGAAAAATTAAACGATGAATAATTTCGAGCGTAAAACATTAGAGCTTTGTGTAGAATAAGCCACTTCATTGCTACATTTAAATTAATTTATATATTCTATGCAAATAACAAGTGTGTGAATGCTTGATGACACCCTATCTCACATATGCGCAATTTTTCGTTTGAATGTTGACGACAATCTTATAATTGAAAAAATCGAAAATATAAATAAAATAAAATTAGTAATCGTGTACAAAAAATTGAGAAATGCGAACGTTAAGTGATATCACAATATTCTCGGCGTGAATAGACAATCACAAAAAATGTGCAATTCGTTACGCACCCATTGACAAATCACGAGCCCCGCTACAAATTAAAGTAAAAGCCCAACACAATCTTGCCAAGGTGTCGATCGCGTGCTACATACACACCCTTCAAAAATTTCTTAACTGATGGCGTTACAACAGCATACTTTCTTGTGTAATTTTTAACGTCTACGCAATATTATAATATTATATGAACCTGCAAAAATGTTTCCAGACATCAAAATTGTTTTCTCCCCTGTAGTCCTTCTCGTTAACACATCAGTCACATTACCATTACACGAGCATCATCACTAAACTCTCCCTTCAACAAGATTAATAAAACTTGAACATTTTCATTTGAACTTTTCAGTTTCATTTTACTTTATTTCAAGATCTAGTTTTAAAGAACAGATTTCGTTAAGGACAAAAATAATTAATATTGTTCCTTTGTCATATTATTTATTGCAATTTACGAAAATTCAATGCATTTGTAGAAAATGAGACCATTGCTATTTTTAACTGTCTAATGCCAATTCGAGGAAACAATTTAAAGACAAAATTGGGAGTCGTTTTTGATAAACATAATTGTTTGTAATTGGCGTTTCAAGCAAAATAACGCCAAAAATTACTCATATTTTCAAAAAAGATACATATCCTTATTTCAAGATCTGTCTGAAAAACATATCACATGAAAGAAAAAAAATCGATCTTCAATATTCTAGTTGTAGGAAGACGCTGAAAATTTTCAACACAAATGTTTTTTTCCGTCTTCTTTACGCTATACAAGTAAAAAAAATTTCGTGTATATAAACTGAAATTTATGAGTACATTGTTCATAAAAATTAATTCATCTTCACTGACGTAAACCTAAATCTTTATAAATATCTTCTACATCAGATTTGCACAAGATATCCAGAATATCGGAGGATTTCGTTAGGTAAACTCACATAATTTTCTTCGTTTTGTTATCATTTGGAGATTATAACATTCCTGATGAAAAATCCGCTACTAAATTGTAAATGAATGATAGAATTAAATAATTCATATTTTTTATCATCATCATCATCATCATCATCATTATATCACTTCATTAAAGAAGGACTAATAATTCTCTCCGCGAGCAGGAGGCCCTTTATGAGATTTGCAGTTAGCAAATAAAAAAAATTGCATATTCTAAAATAATCAAAAATGGAAAATATGTCTATGCATTGCGCAAAGAAGAACATAAACTGAATTGTGTCCCTTATATCTACAAATACGAGAACTTACCCATTTAAATAAGTAGGCAAATAATTTCACAGCTTGGATCATTTCATTAAAGCTCAGGCAATTCAATCTGCGCGCCGCGCCGTTCCCAGTGTTGAATGGCAAGCTCCCCTCCCCACAGCGCCGCTCGCGCGGGCAGACCTCCGGCCCTGGAGTGCAGAATGCCCGCGGGAGCAGGCGTTGTACAGACCTGCGAGGGATTGCGCAAATAGATTGCCAGAATGTTTTCAGAAGTAATCATTCTATTAGCGAGGGCACGTCTACATTTAAACGAAGGTAATAACCTAATAAATTCACTCACATTGTCTCATTTCGACTAAAGTGAATTTTTACTTATGGATTTCAATGTCAAAGCCACGACGTGTCATCATGTGAAGAGCGCAGTAATTAGGAAAGTAGAGGAAGGGAGTATTGACTGAAAATATGTCTGTAAATGAGGTTGAATGACGTCCATTTCTAACATATTTCAAACTACACCACAGCACAACAGTTATGAACAGCCTCTTCAAGTTTTCATACTCAGAAGAGAGAGTACGCAAGACGCGTTATAAAGAATATATCTCCCTAATAAGTGTTCCCATTGAATATTCTTAACAAAAAAATCTGTAAAAAGGGTTGCATGCGACCCTATTGGAACCCTTATCGCAAGAAACAAAATAGTAATGAACATTTGTTTACGCAGGGATATCTGAATCCAACACCTAATCACTTTTGATCAGTTAATTGAGCGGTAAATTGTTTTCACAGGACTGAAGGCAGATCTCAACTCGCTCCAGAAAAAATTGTGGATGTGCTAGTTATCTATAACTAATGGTTCTACAACATCACATATATTTTCTCGCGTTATTTGTACTTTCCAAATTTTCCAAAATTCAGAGAGATCAACGAAAAATAGACCTGCGAAATTTTTAAGTGTCATTAGATTAAGCGCCGTGCATATTCGAAGGAAAATGTAGGCAAAACATTTGAAGTCGTTGTCAATTTTTTTGTAGAAACTATTAATTCGGGAGAGGGTGCGCCGTGCCTACGAACTTGTCGAGTCGCGTGGAAGAAGATAGTCCCCAGAGAAACATTCGTTGCATTGAGGTCTTTTAACGTCATGAAATAATATAATTCGTATTTAAATGACTCTTACATCATTAACTTCAAGTACTTTTTTTTATTTATGTTTTTATAAAGTCACTTAAAAATAAAACACTTGTTGAAGCATAAAATCATGTTTTTATTATCTCGAACTTCGTAAGGAGAGAACGTTATGTAATCTTGCGCCGGAAAATGGTGAATTTTCGGCAGAAAAAGTCATTGCAGTGCTCTGGTAACGAAAAAGTTGATAAATCGGGTTGCTACGAAGTAAATTTCTTCCTCTAATCCTTAGAGTAGCCAGACACCACGTTTTGTGGATTCTTGATACTGAAAAATCTATTGACGACAAAACGAGTGTCTGTGGTCAACGTTAGGGCCTAACCGATTCAACCAATTTTCTTCAAAATTAACATTCCCATATTGAACTGAGCGAACTCGAGACTTTGGGGCTTTCTAGGGTTCTTTACATGAAGCCTCAAAAGAATTTTCAACATTTTCTCAGAAGTGGCTCCATTCTTTTAAATTAAACTTCGTCCTCGGATAGTGTAATGGACGCTTCAGACTTGTGCAGGTCTCATGTTCGTTAAAATCCCAGATTTTTCGAAAATTGCAAAAGTGCAATTTTGGAGGGGCGTCTTCCTACAATTATAAAATTGAATATAGAGATTTTTTCCTCAATGAAATCTGTTCCTCAAAGACCGATCTTGAAATAAGATCACGTACAGTTTTCGAAAATATGAGTATTTTTCGCGTAATATTGGGCGAAAATAGACATTTTTTAAAAAATTTATTAAAAAATTGTTTTCTGTAAAATGGCACTAATATTTCTTTAAATTTTCCCCTCGTATGTATCAAACGGCACAAAATAAGCTACTAGTTCCATTTTCGGCAATATATTTGTATTTCTGAAAATTCCAAAAAGTTGGCATTTGACAACTAGAAAATTGAAGAGAGATTTATGCCTTAGACAAATCTTTTCTAAAGAATAAACTCTTCAAAAAGTCCTTGCACAACTTTCTGAAAACACAAGTAGGTTTCACGTAATTTGGGCCCAAAATTAATGCAATTTATAAAAAAAATGTTTTCTCAAAAAATACGTTTCGGAGGGAAGTGCCACTGGTTCGAGCCTGTCTCGTGGATTCGTCACAACACTTTGTTGGAGCTGAAAACTCTTGAGAATTTCAGAAACTATTGAAAATTATTTGAAGCAATTCTACCCACATATACAATCTGTTAATATTGGAAATAAACTGATAGTGTCTGTATGTCATTTTGAAATTTTAAACAAGTGTACAACTATTGTTTGATTTTTAAAACGTATGTCACATCAAATCAATTGTTCAGTATAATATTGTGGAGCGTTTAGATACATTGCGAGAAAATATGTGCTTTGGCAGAACCACTAGTTTCTATTTTTTTTACAAATGGAAGAGACGTTTGAACGAATGGCGTTGGTCTCATTTTCGAAGAATTCTCAGTATTTTCGAAAATTGCAAATTTAGATATAATGGGAGAATGTATGTGTGGTTGTAGTGCCTAGGTTTAATTTGTTGCGACTCAGCCCATCACGTCTCTTAGCCCTTTTGAGAAATTGAGCGTACCTAGAGTATCCCGCCTTTTTGCCTCGCACGTCGGTCCCGTTCTTCGAGACTTCCAGACTGTCACCCTTCTAGGAATCTGTAGTGTCTGGAGTTGCTTAACTTCCGTGACTTCGCGGAATGTAGTTACGCAATTCGTCTAACGTCGCCGGAATCCTGATAGATTTATCCTCTTGAATTTGATAGAGAAAATGCGGATAGTGTCACAGGAAATGCATGTTATCGCAAGGTCATCGTGAGTGATGGGCCGGTCGTCTACGCCAGTCAACCCAGGTCTAGCGTAGGTGGACGCGCGAAAGCTTTGCGACTCCAGCGGCACCCGCCAGATAAAATCAATTTCTGAGAATTGGCAGACAGGCTGATATCATGAGTAATGGATTTTGCAGATAAAAAGATTAGGAGAAAAGTACAGAAAATCACTAGAGTTTACAATTATCTCTAACCAAAGTGAACAAGAAAAAATAAAGCATGGGCTCCAAATTCTCCTAAATAACCCCTCCCGGTTTAACTTTAAGTACAAATTACGAGAATACTACTCTCAGTTTCAAAAAAAAACCTGCATATCCTTATTTTTAGACCATATATAATTTAAGAATAGAATCTCTATAATCAGTAAGGGGCGAATTTTCATGATATCGCCAAAATGATCAATAAAAATGTTCTTAA